ATGGACAGATTATAAGCATTAGTAGTAAGACTTGCAGCTAATTTTTCTCTGAAATATCGGCGAGGAGGAGACAATGGAATAATATCAATTATAGTGCTGAAAAGAAAAGAATATTCTAGAATAAAGGTAAACAAGTTTTGGCAACCAACTAAACAGTTCCTGGTCCTCAGCTTTGTTTCACGACTCCTCTTTACAGCAGATGGAGAGGGGCGACTTTATGTGTCACTAGCTCATGTTCATCCAGAAAGTGGGCACAATGCCCACGACTTCGGGACGGCCCTGTCAGCTTGATTAGCAGCAAATCACTGCAGCTCTGTGCAGGAATGAGGAGTCTCAGGGGTTACCATATTTGATAACTTTCACTCATAGGTCAAAGTTCAAAATATACTGAAATCTTTTAAAATAAATTCCAACTTTTGTCAGAACAAGAGAGTATTTCTAAAAATAAGTTCTTGAAAATGACTTAGGAATTTTGATAGTAAGGGCATTACATATAACAGCATTACCCTTTGATCATGTGTAAATGAAATTTAAACACATAGTAATTCAAAGTTCTTTTCCTGACTTAGTCACTGAAGGAAGAGAGAAGGAAAAAGTAAAAAATGATTTAGTCGTAGACTTATTGCAGCACTTATTGCAGAATCATGGGTAGAAAAGAAAAGGGTAAAAAGAAAGGTGTTTTCACCAAGCCTCATATTTATGTTTAGCTGGGGTCATAAAAGGACCAGTGATGGATTACGTAAAGAAAGGGCATGGGAGGGACTTTTTCTTGCCAGAACAACAGGGTGTTAATATTCTCCTGAGTGGCACCTTCACTTTGCTCTTGAAAATACAACATTAAAAACCCATGTGAGGCCGGGCACAGTGACACATGCCTGTAATCCCAGCAGCTCGGGAGGCTGACAGGAGGATCTCCAGTTCAAAGCCAGCCTGGGCAACAGCAAGGCACTAAGCAACTCAGTGAGACCCTGTCTTAAATAAAATACAAAATAGGGCTGGGGATGTGGCTCAGTGGCTGAGGGCCCCTGCGTTCAATCCCTGGTACCAAAACCAAACAAACAAAAAAAATCTGTGACCAAAAAAGTAACTAAATCATCAAATTGTACAATTAAAGTAGGTGAATTTTATGTTATCCAAATTAAATAGTAAATAAGGCTCCCAATAAACTGATAGAAAAATATAGGTAAAAGAAAGCAAATGAAAATGGAGAAAATTTGTCCTCAGTATGTCTGCGTCATGGAGAAGAAGCCTGGAGTTGAGGAGAACGGGAAGAGCCACGGGGAGGGTGAATGTGTAGGTAGATGTAAATCAGCATGGAACCAGACAGCAGGGCTGGCGTGCCTCTTGACGGCCAGACAGCGATCAGACAAAAGCAAAAAGACATGTCAGGCTGTAAAGATGGGCGCTTTAAAATCACAGGTCAGTTGCCCCAGAGGCTGTAAGCGTTCTGCGTTTGTGTGCCTCTGATGACGCATCCATCGGGTGCACAGGCAAAAACCCACAGGCCTGGATGCGCTCATGGCCATGGTGGAGATTTTAACACACCCCTCTACAAGAAAGAGCAGAAGGTCAGCAGGGTGTAGGCAGTGTGGACACAATGGAGAAACGTGATTTGTGTGAGTGAATCACTGAAACTAACGCCTGCAGAATGTCCCCAATGTCATGCCACACACAGAAAGGCAGTTCTAGATGGACAGCAGATATGAATGTGAAGAAGCAAATAATTCAACTTCTAGATGATAAGAACATCTACATGATCCTGGGCAGGGCAGGTTTGATAACAGGGATGGAAGCGATTCATAAATTGCACTACATTAAAATGAAATGTTTGTGTGGGTTTGTGGTGCTGGGGGAAGAACTTGTTTCCATCAGAAGATACTATTAGGGAGTCAAAAGGCAAGTTCCAGGGTGTACGTGGACCTAGAGGAGGTTGCACAACAGCATGAAGTCCAGGGGAACTCACCGACTCCCTACAGAGGGCCAGCTTAGGGTCATGAGAGGCATCTAACTTACACCCCAGCAAGACATGGACGGCTTATTGCCCAGACATCTCCCTTATGCCTGTCCCTTCAGTACCCCTGCCTGCTTTGCCTGATTCCCAGAAACCCCTGTCTCTCACCCACTGTCCCTCACCCCCGACAGCCACTGTCCCTCACTCCTGGCAACCACCAATCTGGTCTCCATCTCAATGGTTTTCTTATTTGCAGAATGTCCTATGAGAGGAGTCATAACAGCGTGATCTTCTGAGATTGGCGTTTTTCCCATGGCAGTGGTCTCGGGGTCTATTCAAGATGTTGTGCATCTGTCTCTACTTTGGTCTTCTTAAAAATGGCTTTGAATTTTAATAGCCGCTAGAACAGTTTGAGTTGAGCAGAAGATAGATTGTTCCAGAGACCCCTTTCCCTTCAGGTGTAGACGCCCTCGTGACCACACCCCCACTCCCCAGGGGTGCGGTTGCTGAACCTGCAGACACATGGTCCTTTCCCAGAGGACACAGCTGTGTTAGGCTTTTTCTTGGTCAGTGGCTACATTTTAAAAGATGTATAATACCCAGTGTTGGTGGGATGCAGATCGGAGAGCTTCCATGTAGAGCTGCTAGGGAGGGAGGGAGCTCAGCCACCATGAAAAACTGGCCTTTTTACTACAGTAAGGAGAAGCACACCACCAGATTCCACTCCGAAGAAAATACCCGACAAAAATGTCTATCGCTGCTCATGAAAAGTGTTTTTAAAAGCATATTCATGGCAACTTATTTGACATAGCTGAACTCTTGAAAGGACCAAATGCTCATCGATAGGAGAGTGGGTTGGAAAAAGAATCGTGGCATCATACGCTGGGATAAAGCAGGGCTGGACAAATATTATTCTTGTGGGACCCAAGTCCATAGTCTGCATGTGGTCTGCTCAGCTCTGCAGTGTGTAAACAAGTGGGCGTGGTTTTGTTCCAGTAGAACCATTGATAAAAATGGACTGTGGCCTTGGGGGCCTGTTTTGGCTGCCCTCTGCTGTGGGGCCATCCATGAAAGTTAGACGCACCTCTGTGAATGAGTCTCATGTGTCATCTTGCATGAAAGAAGTCATAAAGTTCAAAAGCAAGCCAATGTCAGCCTTGGTACCAGAGTCAGCACAGTGGTTGTCCTTGGAAGATGGAGGAGCAGGGATGGTGGGAAGGAGCGTTTAGGTTGCTAGTACTCTCTGCCTGGTTGGTGCTTACACCTTTTCTTTCTTTCTTTCTCTACGTTTATACGTATGTATGTATGTGTTTATTGGAGCCAGGGCCTTGTATGTACTAGGCACTGTCTGCCTCTGAGCTACACCTCCAGCCCTGTGTTCACTTTTGATTACTCACTGAGGTGCATACTTAGGACTTGTGCACTTCTCAGTGTGTGTGTGCATGTATGTGTGTGGGTGGGTGTATTATTTTAATAGTTTAAAAAATTAAAAGCGTACACTGTGGTCCCATCCCTGGTATGTGGTAAACATACAGTAATTGTTCACTGAATAGGGGGTTCTAATAACAAACTGTGTACCAAAATAAGGGACAGGGAAGAGTGGTTAATGAAGGGTTTAGCTTGAAGAGCTTATTGAAGACTGTGTGTGTGCGTGCGCGTGCGTGCGCACGCGTATGTGTGTGTTTTGTTGGGGATTGAACCCAGAGCATCACACATGTGAGACAACTCTCTGCCGCCGAGCTCCACTCACAGCCCCTATTGAAGACTTTGGGAGACAGAAATTTTTGGTACAGAGGCAGAAACTGCAGTAATATGGAAATGGAACCACTTTATTGCAAAGAAGATGGGTCCTGTCTGAAAGGCCAGCGTGTCCTACACCTGGTGTGAGCTGACAAGTGACTGTTCTTGTCTGAAGCAGTAAAACCATGGCTAGCTATGTAGGGCAGGCTTCTGGGACAGTTTTGTAATTACGAAATTTAAATTGCATCCATCTGGCAGATACTGTTGTTTTTTACCTGCTTCAAGCCCCCGCCCCCCATGTTACCCCATAAAGGGTCATTCATCCATTATTAGCACTGCGTGGTACAGATATAACGCAGGGGTAACCAAGAAGAAGTGGGAGAACTCCTTTTTCTCCCAGGCAGAGGATTGGCTTAGATGGTCTTTGTGCTTGTGGCCAGATTACCTCCGGGGCAACATGGTCCCCACCTCCATAACAATCAGGGCAGGGACCACCTCAGTGACTGTGTAACAGATTTATGGAGCCCCAGAGACAGTGGGCCTGTACCTCCTTTGAGCTAACAGCTCAACCTGCAGAGCTTCCTCGCTGCTAAGCTCCGGGGAGAGGTTTGGAGGTGAGCCTCGCCGCCCTGACTGGTCTTCCATCAAGGCAGCCCAGGATAGAAAAGGAAGCAGAGCTTCTGGATGAGCTGGAAGGCCTCCTGGGCTCCCTGCAGCTTCCTGGGGCCTTTTAAATGCCCCTGCTCCGCATGGCTCTTCTCATTCTATTGTTTTCTCACAACCACGTTGCTTTTCCTAAGCTTCTCACCTTCGCTCACATTTCCTAACCCCAAACACTCTTCCTTTCTCTGCATTCTCACCCTGCAAGGGTACCTCCCTGATGATCTCAATCCTTATACCAAATGTCACTTGTCACATGTTACCTAACAGTATTCGTTTTTTAATGTGTATATTTCTTTTTGTCCAGCTTAAAAATTGGGTAGGGTCATAGATTACTTTGTCACCTCCGTAATACCTGGGGTCTTGTGGGTAAATGCTCAACAAATAACTAATGATGAGTATGTATGCTCTTATAATGTTTTTAATTATAAAACACTTGTAATATTTTAGGGTTCTCTATGCCTCTTTTAGACTTTGAATATCAATCGTTATTAAATATGATGCTAGATTCTTTATTATAACATTTTTTTTATTCTACTGTAATTAATCCTTGTTTTAAAGGCTCATTTTTTTGAGGTTGTTATCAATTATTGTGTGTTGGCAAATCTGTTAGCCAGTTTAGTAATTAGCTTCCTCCATTCTACTTCAGCCAGAAGTTGAGAACTTTAAGAAGCTAAATCTCATTAGTAAAGAGCAGTTTGAAAACCTAACACCCGAGCTTCCTTTTGAGCCAAACCAAGAAGTTCCTGTAGCGCCTTCACAGTCCAGGCAAGGTATGTACACCTGCATTTGTGTCTGAATACTATTAAAGCAGTTATGAATTGTTTTAAAAGATTGCTCCTTTTTTCTTTATTTGCAGAAAAATATTAGATATTTGAGAAAATTCTAGAATTTTAGTACTCAATTTTGATGTTTCATTAGATGAACTTCTAAACCTTTTAGAGACGTATGACAACAGACTGTGAATTTGGGAAGACAGCTTAGTTGTAAACACGGAAGGGTTTGAACCCCACTGTACTCTGCCTAAACAGACAGGCAGTCACAGAAGTGACCTAGGAGCCATCGTTACAATACCAGAGGATGCTCATAGCCAGACCCTTACTGAGGAGAAGGCAGAACTGGTTGGTTCTCAATGTATCTGAGGAGATTGTTGGAAATGTTTCTGTTCTCAAAGGTTTTCATTGAAATGCTGATCCTTTTGTTTTAAGGCTTTGGCTTTGTGGGAAATGTAAATAGCCTTGGGAGATTTGTAAATTAAATCTGACATTTCCAGGCAAGTGCAATTGATCTTTTTTTTATAGCCTTTCTTTACAACTTTAAAACATTTCAAAAATTTACAAGATAGAGTGGATGATGTCATGATACCACTTGTGCCCACTGCTCACCTTTAACACCTGACCATCTCCTTCCCAGTTTTGTTTTCTCTCTCTCCAGGCACCCCTCTGCCTCCCTCTGGACGTTTTGAAGCACACTCTCAATCATGTTGTTCACGTTGTTATCCCTGAGTGTTTCTCTGTGTCTTCTCTCCTTTAACACATGAATGACAGAGTACCATTACCACATCTAAAATTGATAGCACTTCCTCTTTTGTCCATTTTTTGGATTTTCTTCATCAGTGTGCATATGAGGTCCAAGCCCTGTAATCCTGACAAGGCCCCTACTCTGCCGTGTCGTGGTATTTTCCTCCTTACAATCTACTGTTCCTTGCAGGATATTGCTGAAGAAACTAGATTGTGCTGTGACCTCCCTCACATTCTGGAATTTGCTGATTGCATTTCTGTAGTTTCATTTAACCTGTTTCTGGTCCTGAATTTCTATAGCTGCTGGTTTGAAATAGAGGCTTGATTAGATTGAGACTCAAAAGTCTTGCAAGCATGTGACATGTTGATGCTGTTTGCTTATTTAGAGATGGGGGTTCAGACTCCTGGGCCTGAGTGACCCTCCTGCCCCAGCCCCTGAGCAGCTAGGACTCTGTTTCCTTTATTGTCTGGCTGTGCTGGAGGGCAGTCTGGCAAGCCTCCTGCCCACCTCACCAACAGGCTCTTTGCTTCTCTTTTAGTGTCTCTACTTTTTATCAATTTGATCTTTTTTAAAAAGTTCTCTATTTTCATTGATTGATTTTTTTTCTCCTGTTTTATTAATTTCTTCTCTTTATTATTCCCTCCATCCTGGTTTGGGCCTATCTTACTCCTCACTTTCTAGTTATCCTTCCTGAAACTTAGATCCTTCACTTGATGCTGTTCCTTTCTGTTTTAAGCAGTTAGTCCTGCGAGTTTCCTTCCAGAACTCTCGCTTAGGTATAGCTTATGATTTTGAAAGTGCTTCCATTTTCATTCAATTACAAATATATTTTATTAAATATTTTTTGACCCATCAGTTATTGAGAAGTGCTTTTGTTTTATTTCTTAATTTGGGTGTTTTCCTGATACCTGTTAAAGACAGGAGTCTGAATTATCAACTTCAGGCTTTTCCCATAAAAGCATTTAATCCTACATATTTCCTTTGAAGCACTAATCTAGCTGCATTTCTTAAGCACTGAGCCACATTCCCAGCCCTTTTTAAAATTTTTTATTTTGAGATAGGGTCTTGCTAAATCGTTTAGGTCCTTGCTAAGTTTTTGAAGCTGGCCTCAAATTTGCAGTCCTCCTGCCTTAACGTAACCATCCCTGCGTTCTCTGCATGGCAATATGATGGATTTCTCTAGCCTCCCCTCACCCAGCCGCATCCTTCTATTTTAAGTGAGTTTGTTATAGACAGCATATGGTTGGGTCCTATCCGTTTTTGTTTTTTGTTTTCCTTAGTTGTAAGGGGACACAATAACTTTTTAAAATTTTATTTATCTATATATGGTGCTGAGGATCGAACCCAGGGCGTCACATGTGATAGGCGAGCGCTCTACCGCTGAGCCAAACCCCAGCCCCATGGTTGGGTCCTCTTCTTATTCAGTCTGACAGTCTGCGTTTAACTGGTGTTCAGAGGATCTAATGTAATCGTGATAGGTTTGGATTTAGTTCTACCTTTTCATTGTGTGTTTTCTTTCTTTTTTTCCCTTTGCTGCCTTTGGGTTAGCTGTGACGTTTTCATTCCATTTTAACATATCTAGTATGAATTTGGACATATACATCTCTTCATGTAATATTTTTGGTGGATGTCTAAGGGTTGCAAACTATGTCAACTTTTTATAGTTTATGAATAATCAGTATTTTCCTATTTCAACGAGACAGTAGAAACTTTCACCCCCTGGGCTTCCTTATGTGATGTATCATATTTCATACGTTGAAAACCTATCTGATGATGGGACATCTTTCACTTTTAGCCATGAAGCATGTTTTTAAGAACTTAAAAGGAGAATATCTCTTCTCTTTATCTGGACTTGGCCATCTCTCTTGCTCTTCCTCCGTGGGTGAGTTCCGGGCTCCTTCTGGGCTCCTCCCTCTCCTGCTGGAGTGATCCTCTGGAGCAGTTGAGTGGGCTGTGATCTCTTCCCGTGCCATGGTGTCTCACCCTCACTCTTCTCACGTTCTGGGTCAGCAGATCTTCTCCTCCAGCACTTTAAAACCTGGCCACTGGGGCTGGGGACGAAGCTCAGCTGGTAGAGTGCTTGCCTCGCACGCACAAGGCCCTGGGTTCACCTCCCAGCACCATGGGAAAAAAACAAAAACACAAACCTTGGCCACTTCTGGCCTCCACGCTTGTGTTTCGAGTTTTGCAGAGCTGGGGCTGAGCCCCAGGCTACCCACGCTGGACAAGCGCAGGACCACGGAGCACCCGCAGCGCTCCCCCCCCCCCCCATGGGTTTGGATGGAGACATCCAGTCACTCAGATTGTCCCCCCTCGGGTCGCATTTTTTCTGTCCAGCTTCTCTCAAGATATTTCTGTCCCAAGTGTTGAGCAGTTCCAGCGTAACAGGTCAGCGTAGGGATTCCTAGGGTGTATCCAGGATAGAGTCCTCTCGATTTCTTGAACAGGGCAATTTTCAGCTACTCCTTATTCTCAATGATTTTTGACGACATTTAACTTCCAGGCCTGCATTGTTTTCCTCCCCTGGACCGTGGTGGCCCACGACTTCCTGAGCCTTAGCCGGGTCTTTTTGATTATTTCCTGCTCTGCTATAGAGATTTGAAATTTTCTGTTGATTCTGTTTTTAATCATTCACTTGAAGAAACTTAATGATGATTGCCTTGATGTGTTCTCTTCATGTGCTTATGCTGCTTTGGCTCATTGAGTTTTGGGTATCGAATCTGGAATATTTTCAGCCATTCTTTTAAATTATAGAATCGGGAATTCTCTTCTGCTCTTTCCTCTCTTTCTTTAAAGATTTGAGTCACACATAAGTCAGGCAGTTTGGAGTAGTTTCCGATCTCACTAATGCTTGGGTTTTTTTCCCTTTTTAATCCCTTTTCTGTGTTTTCTTCTTCTTCAGTGTCTGACTTATTTTTAATAAGTGTGGATATTATCCTAGCTGTGGTTGTTTTTTCTTCTTCTTCTTCAGTTGTAGATGGACATGATGCCTTTATTTTTTTTTTTTAAAGAGAGCGAGCGATAGAGAGAATTTTAATATTTATTTTTCAGTTTTCGGCGGACACAGCATCTTTGTTTGTATGTGGTGCTGAGGATCGAACCCGGGCCGCACGCGTGCCAGGCGAGCGTGCTACCGCTTGAGCCACATCCCCAGCCTGATGCCTTTATTTTTATGTGGTGCTAAGAATGGAACCCGGTGCCTCACACGTGCTAGGCAAGTGCTCTGCCACTGAGCCCCAGCCCCAGCCCTGCCTTTACTTCTATAGAGGTTTGACCGGAGTCCCTCTATATTGTCTTTTTTCTCTTTTTTGAAACAAATATATATTTTAGTTGTAGACAGACACAGTATCTTTATTTTATTTATTTGTTTGTTTTTTATGTGGTGCTGAGGATTGGTCCCAGTGCCTCACACATGCTAGGCAAATGCTCTACCTACCCTCCAGCCCGTGAAGTACAGTAAAAACTTATTTTACAAGCAAAGTTCAAATCCAATATTTGGATCCAAAGTGCCCGACTGCTCTAGTTCAGTGGTCAGCCTGTTGTCATCCCTGGGCCCAGACTGGCCTGCAGTGGCCACAGAGGCCATGCCCTACATTTGCCTGTGGCTGAAACTTTTCTTGCTGAAAAGGCAGTTGTTTCAACAGACACTCCGTGACCCAAAGTCCCCAAATAGTTACTGTCTGGCATTAGAGAAAAAGTTTGCTAAACTCTGCTTTAGCAGTGTTTTTATTGAGAAAGAACTTGAAGTGCCAGTCCTTACGTGGCATTTTCTATTAGTCCCCTGTGGACACTGACAGCATCGTGTTAAGTTGTGTTTTCATCAAGACTGTTCCTGCCCGAGTGGTGGTACACCCCTGTCATCCAAGCTACTCAGGAGTCTGAGGCAGGAGGATCACAAGTTCAAGGCCAGCCTCAGCAACTCAGCGAAATCCTGTCTCAAATTTAAAAAAAAAGGAGTGGGGATGCCGCTCAATGGTAAAGTGCCCCTGGGTTCAGTTCCCAGTAAAGGAGAGGGAGGCAGGCAATGCTGTCTCTAATACAGGGGGTGACACAAGCCTACCATAGCCGAGTTATGAAACTGTGTGAGGATTTGATTTAGTAGTGATGAAATTTGGAAAATTTAAGTAGTAAAAAGTCATACTCCTTACTCCAAGATCATACTCTGCAGTCCAAAATCATACACCGTGATCCAGTGGTTTTTAAATTTACCTGCTGAAACAGGTTAAAGGCTCTGTACCGAGATTCGGATCCAGCACATGAGGTGGGGTCTGAGGACATGCCGGGGGGTGCTGTAGGGACCACACTTCAAATCACTGCTTCAGCCAAGTTTCTGTAGTGTCACTGTCCTCTTACAAGCTTTTAGCAAAAACTGTGGGGTCAACAGTCACAACTGAGGTGCCCTGAAGAGCAGAGGGTCTGCTTCATTTTTGATTTTTCATAGCTTTTTGGGGTGCTGTACCACAGAACTGCATCCTCAGCCCTTTTATTTTTGTTGCCCCGACTGGCCTTGAACTCGCAACCCTCCCAAGTCTGTGGGATCACAGGCGAGCACCACTGCACCAGCTGCGGCGTTTCTGAAGTGCAGTTTACACACTGTAGGAATGAAACCTCCTGAAGTGTACCAGTGGATGAGTTCTGTTAAATCTGTATGGTTGTGCATCAGCCCCACGGGCCGGTTTTAGGACAAACCCCTGTTAAAAGGTCCCTCCTGTTCCTTTGCCATCAGTCCCACACTTACCGTCAGCCATAGGCAGTGTCACCTGCTCTCTTTCTCTGTAGTTTTGCATTTCCCTGAAATGTTATATAAATGGAGTCATGATTCATAGTAAAGTGTCTGACTTGTTGTATGTTTGAGGTTCATAGAGGCTCATATATGTCATTGCATGTATCAGTATATTGCTCCCTTTTATTGCTAGCCAGGTGCCATGGCCAGGCCTATAGTCCCAGCAACTTGGGAGGTTGAAGCAGGAGGACCACAAGTTCAAGGCAGCCTCAGCAACTTAGTGAGACCCTGTCTCAAAAAATAAAAAAGGTCTAGGGATGTAGCTCAGTGGTAGAGTGCCCCTGGGTTCAATCCCCACACCCACAAAAAAAATCCCAGAAGTCAATCCCAATCAATAATTGATAGATGTTTGGATTGTTTACAGCATTGCCTATCATGAAAAAATGCTACTGTGACAATACATGTATAAGAGATGGCCTAAGTTTTTTTGTTTTTTAGTTTTAAGAGGACACACAGTATCTTTATTTATTTATTTATTTATTTATTTATTTATTTAATGTGGTGCTGAGGTTCGAACCCAGTGCCTCATGCATGCTAGGCGAGCCACAACCCCAGCCCACCAAGGATTTTGATTAAAAGGAGTTATAACATCTAAATAAGGTTCACACGTCAGCCCCAACTTGTAGTTGATAAAAATGTTGATATGTTAATATTCCCGAACTGTATGTCTACATTTCTAATGAAATGTCAATATCTGCCGTAAATGTTTTGTGCTTACAGTGAACTATTTTTAATGATTATGTCAAATATTATGAATCGATAAATAGTATGCTGTAAAAATTTTGTAAAACGTTTATTTTTAGATAATTAAAGCACTTTGTAGATTTCAGTCTTCATAAAATTGACACATCTATCTTTATTAGTGGGTAAGTGTCATTCCAAACAAACCTCGAATAAAACAAATGTAATACTGAGATGAAACTTAACTTTTGTCAGTGGAAACGTCCAAGTTCAGGTAAAAGTGGAGAGACTTGTTGGTGAACTCTGCGTGCCCCTCTCACCCGCGGTCAGCTGGTGCCAGCCGTCTGCATTCTTTTTACACCTTTGCCTGCCCATCTGTTTCCGGATATCACTTCTCCAGATCAGGTCCCTTCTGGAAACCCTTCATCGTCTGCTGCATGTCGATGATGACGCAAGGGAACTCCTCTTTGGCTTTTAACCAAACAGTAGCCGTCGTGAGCTCCCGCAGCCTCTGTCTCAGCCGAGCTGCACAACAGTCACCTTCTGGTTCTGTCGACCCTTTGACGCTTCTTACTGAGAATTCTTCTTTCAAGATCTTTATCAACTTTTGGTTTACCCTGCCATTCAACTTTTATGCAAAAGGAAGGGAAAATCCTTCTCTTACAAATTCAGTTGATCGATTTTCAGAATAAGAAGCTGATGTACTAGCAACCTGCAAATGTAATTGAATTTTAAACTGTCGTTATGAACTCACGGAGCTTATTTATCTGATGGTTTTAATCCATTTCAGTCACTGTTTACGGTGGCCACATAACTTTGTTTTAACTGGTAGGAACCCTAAAGTCTGTTTATGACCTGTAATAGTATTTTTTAAAAAAAAATATTTATTTTTTAATTGTAGTTGGACACAATACCTTTATTTCACTTACTTATTTTTATGTGATGCTGAGGATCGAACCCAGGTCTTGCAAGTGCCCCTGTATGAGTGTTTTAATAAAACAAAACAAAACTTAATTACTTTGTGAGTCAAGATTTCCTGGGCTCATATTATGAATTTTCTGCTCCAGACTTTATTTTTTTGAGGAGACCTGATAGTGGAAAATGGAATTTAGATACCATAATCTGGTGCTAGGAAGCTCAGTCTTTCCAGGTAGTTGCTATTTCTATATCTTTGTATATTTCTTTTATAAAAGTACTAGATTTAACATTTTTTTCAGTATATGCTCATAATTTTAAGGTTTTATATTGTTTGGGTATAAGGAAATGTTGTGAGAACAATTCAGTTGAGATTAGCCTTTCTTTGGGGAGGAGATACTCCTCGGATGTTCAATAAGATTGTGGCTGTGCTTTTAGGGAGCAGGGAGACTTGCTCTAGGGGTCTAGGGGATGAATTTTAACTTAATTCATGAAACTGTGTTAGTCAGCTTTTTGTTACTATAACAACAAAATACTAAGATAATCAACTTATAAGGAGGAAAGTGTTTTTGTCTTACGGGTTTCAAGGGTTTCAGTTCATGGTGACATAGCCATTGCCTTTTGTCCTGTAGCAGCACAGTGCATCATGATGGGAACCTGTGGCAGGAACCCTGTTCATCTCATGTGCTGGGAAGCGATCACAGAGAGATGGAGGCAGGCCCTGATATCCCCTCTGGGTGCACACCCCATATTATCTGACCTTCCATGAGGCCCTAGTCCTGAGGGGTTTCTTCACTTCTGGTAGCTCCAAGCTGAGGACCAAGCCTGTGTGTGTGTGTGTGTGTGTGTGTGTGGTGCTGGGGATCGAACCCAGGGCCTTGTGAATGTGAAGCAAGCACTCTACCAACTGAGCTATATTCCAAGCCTTTCAACACATGGGCCTTTGGGGACATTCTAGATCCAAACTACAGCAGGATGCAGAGATGGCTCAAAAAGAATTAATTCTATTGGCAAGAAATATTCAGGGAGTTCTCACACCTGTGCTGGGTGTCGGAGGAAGGGTATGTGTCCATCTGAGCATACAGAACCTTCAGAACAGGGAGAAGCTTAGAAAATATGCAGAGCAAGGAGCCAGGACCAGATCACTGGGCGCTACTTGGGTCATCCGGGTTGTGGTGGAGAAGGACAGAGGAGGCAAGTCAAGGAGGATAAGCATCTAAGCTTCTAGAGGCAAAGGGGAAACAGTGAAGGAGTTCAATAGAAATGTGCCCAAATTTGTTCTCAGAATAATCATTCTGGTAACAGTGAGGACAATATTGAGAGAAGAGTTGGCAAGTGGGTAAGTTCACTTTGGGCTTTATAAACTTGTTCCTAGAATAGTGCTTGGCAGACAGTAGGCATTTAATATTATCTTGTTGAATGAAAGAACAAAAGGTTGCCATATAAATCAAAAGAAGTTAGTTCGTGTGAAGAAAAACTACATAAGAAATAGAGCCTGGATTTTTGTCACCACCACTTGATCCCGCCTCAGACTTTCTTAGTATCTTACCTAAGATTTTCATGAACAAATCAGTAAGTAAAACAACCCAAAGCCAGGAGAGGTGGTGCACACCTGCAATCCCAGTTACTGGGGAGGCTGAGGCAGGAGGATCGAAGGTTCTAGGCCAGCCTCAGAAACTTACATCCTGTCTCAAAATTAAAAATTTTAAAAAGGGCTGGGGCTATAGCTCAGCGATAGAGCAATTTCACAAGGCCCTGGGTTCAGTCTTCGGTACTGCACACACAAAAACGCCCTAGGAAAATTGCCAAAGGACTCGCAGGGCAGGCTCACAAGAGTGGCAGTGTGAGTGGTAAGCAGGCAGAGGAAAGCGTGTCCACCTGCACTGGGGACAAACGCCATTTGAATCCATGAGTTGAGAAAATACTTAATAAGTGTCTGAACAAAACCCAGTGTTGACCAGGATGTGAATCCTGGAGCGTCCCCGGCTGCTGTGAGAGTGTAAGTCTGTGAAACCTCAGCAGCCTGCTGTCTGCAGTGAGTAATCAGAAAGCCCGGAGATGCTGTATCCACTCCAAATAAGCCGTAAAAAAAGGCACACACCCGCACAGAGGATGTGCTTCACCAGGTTGGCCACAGTGTAGTGGGCTAAACCCAAAACGGGAAATAACATAAATGTCTGTAGGAGAATGGACACATTCTGATATATTTGTAAAATAATATTAGCAGTGGAAATGAAAACTCAGATCTACATGAATGTAACATGAAAAAGCTTAGAAAATGATGGATATAGTATATAATGTCACTTACGTGAAGTTGATTATGCAAAATAACATTATTACCTACGTAGTCATAGATTGAAATACCAAATTTAAGAGCATGGATATCTCTGAGGAGGAAAAGCAGGAGAGAGGTGGATTAGGGAGTATAACAGAGAGCCTCAGTGTTTCTTTAGAAAGATGAACACTGGGTTTTTTTTTTAAGTAATTCTTTCTGATATATTTAAATTGTTCTGATGAAAAGAATTTGAAGAGTTATCCTCAAAGTAAAATATCTTCCTAGCATCTAAATACTTTTAAGAGCTACTTATTTTACAGATTTGACTGATTAATTAGCTCAGAAGTTGTTTGATGTTTCAGAAAAAACTTTAGCAACAGTGGTCTGTTCGTTGCCCGCGGCGGTTCCAGAATCTCCAAGGGATAATCCTGCAAGGACACCCAAGACCCCCCGAACACCCAGGCTGCACGATCCTGACAAAACACCCAGATTTTATCCTGTTGTTAAAGAACCAAAAGCCATTGATCTACAGGTAATGAAACAGCCAGGAACACGCGCCTGCATGGCGTACCCCTGAACATTACCAAGTTCCTATCACATTTTTTAAATGTATATTTTTAAATTGTAAGAATTCATTTAAAAATGGTACTTACCATCACGACATTTTCTTGGGTTAAAAAATGAGCTTCTTTACAATTGGGTGGAGTCCTCAAAGGTGATCAGAGGGTGTAATGAAGAATCAAGTTCTGTTTCCTGCAACCCTTGTGTTACAAACGTAGCAAAGGGTCTTGTTAAATTTTGCAACTTGTATGGGAGATGTTGGAGTTTTGTGACTTCATGTGATTTCACAATGTGTCATCCACAGTATGAAAATGTCTGAGCTGGCTTACAGCAGAGGGTTTAATTTATTTGTGAAGTTCACACTACTGACAGTGATTGCAATGTCTGACTTTGTTTTCTTCAGAGTCCCAGGAAGAGAAAGACGAGGCACAGCACAGACCCCCCTCTAGAGTGTCATGTTGGCTGGGTCATGGACTCCAGAGACCACGGGCCACGAGCACCCGCTGTCAGGTACCACCTTGATCTGAAGGTCCATTGAAAATGGTCACTAATGGAATTCAGAAATACTATAAATAAATGTCAGGAAAATATAGAACAATATAAGCAGTAAAAAGAAATCAAGGACATGAGTGAGTGGGCCCAGCTGGTTTCCATTTCAGTTACTTTTCACAAATGCAAATGCTCAGATTTATAAACTATGGAGGTCTACAAAAGTTATTTTTGGAAAGATCCCAGATTCTTAATGGCATTCGGTAGGTTCTTAGTAGATACTCATTGACAGAACTGATGTGCTAAGCCATCTACTCAAACTAAAAAGAACATGGAGACCAAAAACAATGATACTAATTACAATCATGGTTATTGAAATGATGATGGTACTCGGCATTGAACCCAGGATGCTTTACCATTAAGCTAGATTCCCAGCCCTTTTTAAATTTTTTTTTTTTTTTTTTTCCCCGAAACTAGGTCTTACTAGGTTGCTGAGGCTGGCTTTGAACTTGCTATCCTCCTGCCTCAGCCTCCTGGGTTATTGGCATTTCAGGTGTGTACCACCATACCTGGCAATTATTATTTTGACTTTTTCCCCTTTTCTCAGGAAACAACTTATCTGACTACTAGCTGGAAGTATTTTTTCTTTTTAGTGTTAAATTTTTTAGGATGGTTATGTACCTCAGAACAGATTCTGGGGCGCCACTGGAGCGGACCGGTTGTGTGCTGGAGAGGGGAAGAGGTGAGGAAACACAAAGAGGTCACAGCACCTCACCTCTGTCTCTCTGTATCCTCATCAAACACATCTCCCCTCAAAGAAAAAGTGTGTTGTTCTTCCGCCCATCAGTGGAATGCTACTAGTGTTTTCGAGTTGTGTTTGAACTCTTGATTTGTCTACTGCAGCAGGGTATTTTGAGATCAACAGATAATGGTGGAAAATATTCCCTCATTAACATTTAGTTAGAATGTTGAGTTCTGAGATTTCTTAAGATTTGTGTTTTTATCATGTGTATTTTCTTGTTAATAATTAATATATGTAGTAACTGTTGATTCCTAGCTACCACCTATTGCATAGTGTTGGCACCCTCAGATACGGTCAATTTATTTTTGACCAAGAAGCCAAAACTATTCAATAGGAGAACAGTCTTCTCAAATCATGGTGCTGGGAAAACTCGGTAACCACATGCAAAAGAATGAAGATAGATTCTTGCTTTATTCCATATACAAAAAAAAATTTAACTCTCAAGTTCAGGACTCAAAGCCTGAACTTGAGAGCTAAAACTTCAAAACTCTTAGAAGGAAACGTAGGCGAAAATCTTCATGAGATTGAATTTGTCTTCAGTTTCGTGGGTATGACACCAAAAGCACAGGCAACAAAAGAGAAAAATAAATGGACTTTATCAAAATTGTGAACACTCGTGCATCAAAGGATACTACCAACAGAAAAGACAGCCCAATGGGAAGATATGGTAGATCAGACATCTGTTAAGGGATTCAAGTCCAGAATATATAAAGAATTTTGAAAACTCAACAAAGCAACTTTATTTTTAAATGTGCAAAATTCTTCAGTAGATATTTCTCCAGAGAAGATATACAAGTAGTCATTAAGCCTAGGAAAAGATGCTTAACACAGTTAATCATTAGAGAAGCACAAATTAGAAAAATCCCATGAGATACCACTGTGCACCCCCTGGGACAGCGTTATGAACTGAACTGCGTTGAAACCCTGGCCCCTGATGTGACAGTCCTTGGAGACGGGGCCCTTCTGAAGGGAGGAGGCCTGCTCCAGCCATTCTTACTGAAGAGGCAGGGACAGAGACCCTGCAGGCCCACCCAGAGGAGAGGCCGTGCAGGCACACACAAGAAGGCGGCTTTCTGTGGACAGGGACTGTCTTCGCCAGCCAGCCTACTGGCGTCTCCATCTTGGACTTCAGCCTCTGAGACTGTAAGGAAATGAGTTCTGTTGCATTAGCACCCAGTCTGTGCTGCTTGTTGGAGCAGCCAGAGCTGACTAATACAGGTGTATAATCTTTAAAAAGGAGTAAGTGTGAGGTGTGGGGAACTGGGCACGGTGCTGCCTTGCTGGGGTATGAAGTGCTGCAGCCACCAGCATTTTCTCAAAACCATGAAGACACAGAATTACTGTAGGACCTAGGCCTTCTACTCCTGGCTCTGAATTCTGAAGTAAAACAGGGACCTGAAGAATATTGGTTTGTTACTGTTTACAACAGCATCACCCACAGCCAAAAGATGGGCAGCCCAGGTGAGCACGGGCAGGTGACTGGACGAACATCAGGGGACGTACACTTCCAGTGAAATGGAAGGGCGTGAAGTCTGGGTGCACGCCTAGTTCATCTGCAGAGGGCCAGACGCAGATGATTCGAAGCATGATCCCGCTGACACGAAGTGCCTAGAACAGTCAGGTTCACCAGGGGCTCGGGAGCGGGAGGGGCGTGTTATTGTTCAATAGGTACAGTTTTTGTTGGGGAAGGTGAAGGGTGATGACACTGGCAATGTATTTAATGTTGATGAATTATGTACTTGTGAACAGTGTTTAAAACAGTAACTACTATGCTGGGTGTGTTCATTCATTCTCTCTCTCTCTCTCTCTCTCTCTCTCCTAAAAAAATTTCACCATTGCTTTTATTAGAAAAGTCTTTGAGATTCAGAGAGATACTGTCTCACATTTAAAAAGGGCGGGGGGTGAGGGTACTCAGTGGTAAAGCACCACTGGCTTCAATTAACAGTTACCAAAAAATAAAAGAAGTCAAGTCTTAAGGTGTTGATGGGAAAAGTCTTTAGGTATTAGGCTCATAAATTACACAAATAGAAAATTTTCAAGATCTCATTTTTGCTTAATGTCTCCGTTTTGCTATTGGAAACAGGTGTTCTGTCGTTTTCATTGTCATTAAAGACCCCTTTTGTTCATTTTTGAGGAAACATCTGACACGTAATGAAATCTGAATGACCACATCGTTGGTTGTTTTCCTAATTTAAAGTGTCACTCCAGTGACCAAAACAGCACGTTCCCTCACCCCTGAATGGCACCTTGAGGCCACCACTGTGCTTCAGTAAGCCACAAAAGTGCTTTGTGTTTCTCTCCTGATTTATGAAATTGTGGTTAAGAAAATAATGACACCCTCTTACCCATTTTTAAGTGTGCAGTCAGCACCTTTGTGTTGTAAAACAGAGCTCCAGAACGTTTCATCTTGCAAAACTGCAGCTTCTACCCCATTTTTGCCACATACGTAAAGATATGTACTCAAGGGTGTAGATTTCATAAACCTACTTTTTCTGCTTCAAGGATTCCTTAAATTGAAGGTGGCATTAATTTTTGTTTCATTGCAAGTGCCCCTGCCTCAGTCACATGAGCAGTTTTACAAACCGCTAGGACAAATTTCAACAGGTAGAAAGAGCAGACGGTGTCTTAGTGTCCCGGTGAAGACAGCTTTGATCTTGCAGACTTCCCCAAGGTTCCTGGGAACCCTCCAAGAGAACCACTGAGGGAGCTCCATGTCTTACAAAGATAACTTTGGTGGCACGTTAGAGGAGGGAGCCTGGAAAAACAAGGAGAGCAGTTAATTCAAGACAGAAGAGAAAGGCCTAATTTAAATAGAGAAGGAAAGGACAGACTTAGGAGTACTTCAGAGGTGGAACTGATGTAGAGAGTTGCAGGTGTGTCTTTGAGATAATGAGATTATTACCTTGGTTTTATGCCAGATTTTGTCCCTCATTTCCATAGATCCATTTATATCATTAATTACTCAAGTTAAATTGGAAATTTCTCCAGTTCTTTAACGATAATTCAAACACTGAATCTGAACTGCATTCGTCAGGGATCTGGAGGAGTAATGAGGCTCAGTGGTCTGCTTCTCCTGATTGTCTCAGCGTGAGACATCCTCACCTGTCCTTCTCCACTTCCCCCTTGGCCTGCCAGCGCAGCCTGAGCACTCCTGCGTGTGTAGATCTGTTGCCACCAGCTTAGCTCGGGGGGCTGCTTGCTTTTGCACTGCTCAGGACAAATGGGTTGACACACTGGTTCTGGATATTTCAGTTTGAAGGCTTTCTCCCCCTCCTCAAACAGCAGTGCCAACACTCCGCCCCCAGGAGGGGTGCCGCTGGTGGGAAGCTGTGGATGTGCTCCGCATTCCTTCCCTAAGTTCCAGCACCCTTCTCACGAGCTCCTGAAGGAAAACGGCTTCACCCAGCAAGTGTATCACAAGTATCGTCGAAGATGTCTGAGTGGTAAGACGCTTGTCCTTTATCCTCCAGTGTTATAGCTAAAGATAGAACTCTGCAAAATTTACATCGTGTCATTTAATATCTGGATAAGATTCTTTTTTAAAATATTTATTTTTTTATCTGTAGTTGGACACAATACCTTTATTTCACTTATTTATTTTTATGTGGTGCTGAGGATCAAACCCAGGGTCTCGCACGTGCGAGGCGAGGGCTCTACCACTGAGCCACAACCCCAGCCCTGGTTAAGATTCTTTAATTTTGTTTTAGTTATAAGTAAATAATCACCGTTAAGTAAATTTGTTTATATATGTTCTTTATTTATGTATTTTGTAGCTTAGGCACATTATGAAATGAAATTTAGTGTATTCTTGTTGTTACTATGGACAGCTGTTTATGATTTGGCCAGTGCCATGAAAAATATCTACTCTATCAACTTTTTAAAGTACATTTGATTTTAAAATGTTTTAATATTCTGACTTTTTCCAGAGAGGAAATGCCTGGGAATCGGACAGTCCCAAGAAATGAACACCCTCTTTCGTTTCTGGTCCTTCTTCCTTAGAGATCACTTCAATAAAAAGATGTATGAGGAATTCAGACAACTTGCTTGGGAAGATGCAAAAGAGAATTACAGGTCAGATATTTTCTAATATGTTTATACTTGGAGTGTTTTTTTTTTTAGCATTTTACTTATGAACCTATTAAAAAAATATTTCTTTCTTAGTTATAGATGGACACAATATCTTTATTTTAGTTTTATGTGGTGCTGAGGATCGAACCTAGTGCCTCATGCATGGTAGGCGAGTTCTCTACCTCTGAGCCACAATCCCAGCCCATGAACCTATTTTTTTAACTTAATTTTATTTATTTATTTTTATGTGGTTCTGAGGCTCGAACCCAGGGCCTTGCACTTGCAAGGCAAGCGCTCTATCGCTGAGCCATGACCCCAGCCCCTATACTTGAAGAGTTTTAAAAAGTAATCTTAAAAATAAGTACTAAAGCCACCTGATTTTTTAGAAATATTTTTTAGTTGTAGGCAGACACAATACCTTTATTTTTATTTATTTATTTTTAATGTGGTGCTGAGGATTGAACCCAGTGCCTTGCCTGTATTAGGCAGGTGCTCTACTGCTGAGCCACAACCCCAGCCCAAGTCACCTGATTTTGAACCAGGAAAGCAGCACCACATAACTGGAGCAGGAACCGTATGCATTACCTGCTGTTGCCTGGCAGGTTACCTAAAGCTGGGAAGCTTGAAACAGCAAGCATTATGAGTTCACAGCTTCTAAGGGTCAGGACTGAAGGAACTGTCTAGCCAGGCATTTCTGGCCCAAGGTCTCTCTGGAGACTGGAACTGGGCTGGAGGACCCTGTTCCTTCACGTGGCTACTGACAGGGGGCTGTGCTGTATCTGCATTCCGGCCAGGCAGCTCCCCAGAGGGTGATTTACAACATGGCTTCACCCCGAGTAAGTGATCCAAGATAGTGTGTGCTCTTGTGCAGCTTGTACAAGGAGGTCACACACCGTCACTCCCACCATATCTCACTGCTTGCAAAGACCAGCCCTGGCCCAGTGAGGGGGAACCTGCCCAAGGTCACGAATGCAGGAGGTGCATCAATAGGAACCTTCTCAGAGGTGACACGGGGCTGAATGGGAGCATAAGGTCCTTCTCCCCAGACCCTACACAGCTGACCTCCCTTGCATGTGCACACATATCCCCTAGTGGAAGCCTCTCAGAGCCACACCAGTCTTGAAGATTTCTGGAGATAAGAAAAGCAGGTGTCTCCTGACACATGTCCAGTCCCCCTCCCTTCCACCGGTCCTGTGGCGGTGGTTGGGACCACCTGCTCTCGACTGAGCGGGGCTCCACCCCTCTGGACAGCTGCCCATGGTGTGCTGGGCTCTGCCCCTACTTGCCGTCCTCCCTCTGCTTTCCTGCCCCCTGTCATTCTGTCCCAGCTCAGCCCTTGCCTCCTGGTGTCCCTTTCATCCTCGTTCCTGTGACCTTCCGTCAGAAGCTCAGCAGCATCACGCCAGGCTGCCGAGCAGAGGCTTAGTGGCAGCTGGCGGCCCTGCATTTCTTTTGGTGGCTTGCTCAACTTATTTATTCTTTTGGACAGACCATCACTGTCCATTTTGGAAATAAGCTAGTTACAAAAGAGATACACACTCACATATGCTGCTGCCTGTGGAAAACAGCCGGTCAAGCTTACGTTACCAGTGACAGCAACGTTGCCACCTCTGCTCCACTGAGGCACTCAGAAGGACGGAGAAGTCTTTAACTGCGGCATCTTGAGCCAAACATAGTCCTGCCACCTTCCCGGCCTGGTCCACTCATGGGTCCTGCTCATCACTGTTGGTTGAAGGCTGAGTCCACAGTTTGCCCATCTGTTGCCTGGAACTAAGAAGCCTTGACACTCACTGTCTGCCTTAAATAGAGGTTTTAGCTCCTTTGTTAGTACATCTGCTATCACTCGTACTTAAAAGTAAAGCAGCGAGGCTCTCTGAGGATCCGTTTAATTAGATGTGTTTCATTATAGTTGAATGGGTCGATCACAGCTAGGCTCCAGGGCACAAGAGTGTGGTCTCAGAGTGAAGATTATATTCAAGAGTATTAAGTACTATGGACAGACACATCATTGTAAATCTTAGTTTGGGAAAATCTAGAATATTTCTAATGTCACCAAATATTTTGCAATTCTTCAGAAATACCAAGGAGAGAGAGAGTGCCCATCTAGAGAAGCCACACTGGCCATCAAGGGCGCTTCTCATTCTGCAGGTTCCCAGTGCACCTCACTGTGTATTGTAGCCGAGTCAGTGAAACCAGTAGCAAGACAGCTAAGTGTCACTAATTGGCTTTCAGTTCAAAGTCTGCGTACTAAAGACCTGTGTCTCACTTAGGATCACATGTGTCACACTGACCACAAAATATGTTGCATTCTTATAGCAAAAAATTTATTATAAACCTTTTGTTTTCTTTCCATAGGTATGGGTTAGAATGTCTGTTCCGGTTTTATAGTTATGGACTGGAAAAGAAATTCAGACAAGAAATTTTTAAGGATTTCCAAGAAGAAACCAAAAAAGACTATGAATCTGGTAAAAACAAACAAATCTTCTGTCTGAAAATTATCAGTCTGAATCCGTCAAAAAACAGAGGAGCTTGTAGCTTTTGTCTTTAAGGAAAACTACTAGGACTTCAGGCCACTATGTGGCTCGTGATAAATGACAGGTACCATACAGTAAGCAGGTCCTTCCCAAGGGCCCTGGGAAACGACACCCTCAGTGTCTCCCTCGTGGGGCTGTCTTTGTCATATTCCCTTGATAGACATGGCTGCTCACTGATGTTCCATGCGGTGAACATCCTACGTAACGCCAGCAGGCGTGCTCAGAAGGTCAGCAGGGCACAGTAGGGCAGAGAGCAGGCCTGGGCCCCAGGCTCCACCCGAGACCCAGTGCCAGTACTTGGCAGCAACGTGAGCCTAGGCAAGCTGCCAGCCTCAGTTTTCTCATCCTTAACAGACGCACTTGCCTTACCAGGGCACTTACAGGGCTATGTGTGATTCAAGTTAAGTTTGACATATAGGATTAAGGATTTAATCCTTAATATCCTCATCATTAAGGATTTCCAGAAAGAAACCAAGAAAGCCTCTGGAATCTGGTAAAAACAAACAAGTTATCCCGAATAACTTAAATAATATCTGTTACATAGCAAAGGCTCAGTAAATGTTAGCTGCCAATATTGTTAATTCATTATGAATCTTATTCTTAAGATCTATTGATATTCTTAAGATCTATTGATAAAGTATATTTTGTAAGATAAATGGTTTCTTGCTGGTTGAATCACATTTCATATGAATCATCTTTCAAAATTCTATAAAATCTATAGTATAAATTCTTCTTTATTATTAGGTCAGCTATATGGACTAGAAAAGTTTTGGGCCTATCTGAAATATTCTCAGTCCAAGACGCAGTCCATTGACCCAAAACTTCAGGAATACCTCTGTAGTTTTAAGAAGTTAGAAGACTTCCGTATTGATGTAAGTTTTTTCCTCTTTTTATTACTCATATATTTCTATCTCTTATCAGTGACTTTATAATTTTTGTATCTTAATTTTTTATCTTGAAAATTTAACTGTTCAGTTTTGAAATCAGACTTGGAAACAAGCATGAGAAGAGCTCAAAAAATCACCATATGCTCTTCACTCAGATTTCCCAAATGTGAACACCTTCTGTGACACAGGGCAGTCGTCAGTTCACTTTAACATACCACGTCCTTAAACATTTTCTAGATTTAGTGACTTTCATCTGGATATGCTACTAATTTCTCACTAGCAGTGCAAAAACTTTTCACTTTTTTTTTTTTTTTTTTGGTGCTTGAGATTGAACCCACACGCTAAGCAAGTGCTCTACCACTGAGCTCCATCTCCAGCCCTTCTCCTTTTATTTTGATTCAGTGTCTGGCTGCATTGTCCAGGTTGTCCCTGAGCTTTGGATCCTGCCTCAGCTCCCAGAGTAGGTGGGATCACAGGAGTGCACCACCACACCCACCACTTTTCACTTTTTAATGTGCTTTTCTCCATATGATTTTTGTACTGTGCTGATATAGATTTAGGGTTTCTTCATAGTAAGATTAATGCAAGAGTGTTATATGTATATGTGTAGCCAGGAAATCAGTTTGATTTCAAGAACAAATGGAAAGCATTTTGAAAAGTAATGGAATAAATTTAAGAAAATAAAAGCAAAGGAAGAAAAAGAAAAAAGAAAAGGAAAAACTGAACACCTAAAAGGAAGAAAGGAAAGGAAAGTCTGGCCCGTTACTGCTTGGTGTTGTAATTTATTTGTCTCGTACTTTTGTGGAACTGGATATGGTGGCTCAGGAATGGGGTTGGAGGTGCCCATATCCCTGGAATTAAGAGTCATTCTTCTAGAGTGACTGAGCAAGATGGGAGATTACTATTTTAACTTGCCTCCAAATAAAAATATTAGCCTAGTGACTCCCAAGTGTCTGTAACTGAGAAGGCGTCCAAAGCTGGCTTATTTTAAACGCTGACTGCCTGTTGCCCTCCACCTGCTTCTGCGTGCAGTCTGAGTGGGCTTGGGAGCTTTCTGGGTATTGAGTTTGGAGATGTTTACAGTTGATATCACCACTAATGCTTTCCAGTTTCCTTATCCAGGACTTCTAGATAAAACTTGAAACCTGCTCTTTGACTTGGCCTCTTTTTTCCTCAGTTGCTTGCGTTCACCTGTTACTTAAACATTGCAACACTATTGCAAGCCTATGATAGGTGTTTAGTGTTGATAAAGGGACTAGAGTCATAAATGCTTCACAGTTGACAGAAGTTGAATAAAGAGGAAAAATGGCCTTACAGAAGACACTTTCTTGGAGGCAGGGAACCCAGCCTTATGCTTATGCCCTCTGTTAGTCTGCTTTGTGTCACTGGGACCAAAATACCTGACAAGAACAACTTGGAGAAAAAGTTTGTTTTGGCTCACTGTTCCATAAGTTTAGGACATGTTCTGGCCCAAGGTGAGGCAGGACATCATAGTGGAAGGGTCGGCGGAGGAAAGCTGCTTAGCTCATGGCGGCCAAGGAGCAGAGAAGGGGAAAGGGCCACAGGTAAGATGCATCCTTCCAGGGCACACCCCAGTGACCTACCTCCAGCCTACGGTGACTACCCAGTCAGCCCATTCAGACTGGGATGGACTCACAGTCCAACCATTTTACCTCCAAACATTCCTGCCTTAACACAGGAGCTTCTGAGGGACACGTCAGATCCAAACCGTGACACGCCCTAGTATGTAGCTTGGGCCTCAGAACACGAGAGAGGTTTCATAAGCGTATGTGGAGTGAAAGAATGAGCAGATGCGGTAGTTAGTTGTCATTAGGAAATTCAAGTTTAAGATCTTAAGTTGCTGTTAATGTTTCATTAAACTAACAAAATCTGTTGAAGAACCAAAATTATTTTCAACCTCATTGAAAAAGTCTGGTCGTAGATTTTGAAGGAAGAAAAACAGTCAAACTGTCAACTCTGTTGTCTTTCATGATCTGCAGCCCCCTATTGGTGAGGAATTTGGAAGAAAAAGATACTTGTCCACTTCTGGTGAGGAGAGCAACCGGCACAGACCCCCGTCTCATTCTCCAAAGCCACTAAATGCTGCTGTGCTTACATCCACCAGTCAGCTCCTGGTGCCCGCCAACTCTCCCAGAGGGAATTCTCCACAGGAGTTCAGCGACTCGCACCAGAGCCGTGCTGCTTCCATCTCAATGAATGGCGAAGTGCCTGAGAAGTAGACTCTTATGAAAGTTGTGTGTCCTTGAAATCAACATTACATCAGTATTTATTTGGGAAAAATCTTCTGATGTTTAATTGTGATAATCTGAAAAAGTAGAAAGGAAGAAATAAGGTAGCATCTTTTCTAGCAGGCTAAATTCCAAAAACGTTTTCCCTGTTTTCACAAACCAGGATAGTTTTGGTGACCTTTTGTAGACATCTGCTAGTAATGCATTTTGGTCTCAGTATTTCTTTAAAGCCATTGTTTACAAGAACAGCATTCCTTAATATATTAAAAAGCAATACAAGGAATGCTTAACATTTCAGCTCTTACTTCTTAAAGAAGATATAGTATGTTGTATTCATCTCTTCTGTAGAGCTCTCTTAAAAAATCCAGTTGCCCCACTACCAATTCATATTTGAACTTATCAAAACCAAAGGAAGATTACGTATATGTTTTTTAAATTCAGAAAAAGTATATGAAAGATACATTTTTCTTTTAGATGTATAGTTTAAAGGAAGCTTTTTAAAAATTTTTTTAAATAGAAGTGGAAGTAAATGGCAAGATTGTAGTTACATTGAAGTCTATGCACTTTTGATGCTGGGTTTCATTTTTCTCCCCCTTAGTCAGACCTCGTGGTTTTCACAGTTGTTGTGTTGGTGTGGAATAAGCTGGTTATATATTAGGAGAGATTTATTTTTTGATTCCGTATAAATTTGCACATGTAATTGAAAACTGCATTGGGATTAGTTGGAATATTGTCTTAAATAAATTAAACCTCTGTTTTGAATGCACATGCTGTTTATACATCTGCAAAGTGGGCATTTCACAGCAGTCAGATTATCATCAATTTAAAGAGTATTTAGTCTTTTTCTTTTTGTTTCGTTCTATTTTGTTTTATGCTCATAAGTGTTTTCAAGAGTTATTACAAATTGGTTTCTAATTATTATTGCTATTGTAACTTATGTAAATGATAGTTTCAGTTTTGTGGGATTGAAAAATAAAGCACTTATTCTGAATTATTTGAATTGATTTTTAAATTATTTTTATTTAGAATACATTTGGAAAGCTATAATAATCCAGTTCTGCTAGTAGAAGACCATTATATTTCATGAATGAGTTTTGGTTATGGACTTATTATATCATTTTTACTGAGCACAGCATGATTCAAAATGCTGTATTGGCAGAAGCTGCAAATTTCAGTACACTGAATTTATTATTTTCTTTTTATTTTTTATCATAGATGGGATATAATTTCTGAGTGTACATGTTACAGAATCATACTGGTCATATAGTCACATATATACATACAGTAATAATGTCTGTAATAATTTGATTAGGTGCAGTGTCTAAGTCTTTGATCCACTTTGAGTTGATTTTTATGCAGTGTGAGAGATTTTGCTAAATATGGATTTCTAGTTTTGCCAGCACCATTTGTAGAAGAGGCTATCTTTTCTCCAGTGAATGTTTTTGGCACCCTCGTCTAGTAAGAGATAACTGTATTTATGTGGGTTTGTCTCTGTGTCCTCTGTTCTGTACCATTGATCTACAAATCTATTTTGGAGCCAATACCATGCTGTTTTTGTTACTAATAGCTCTGTAGTACAGTGTAAGGTCTGCTTCACTTTTCTTACTAAGGATTGCTTTAGCTATTCTGGGTCTCTTATTTTTACAAATAAATTTCATGATTGCTTTTTCTATTTCTATGAAGAATGTCATTGGGATTTTAATAGGAATTGCATTAAATCTGTATAATGCTTTTGGTAGTATGGCCATTTTGACAATATTAATTCTGTTTATTCAGGAGCATGGGAGATCTTTCCATCTTCTGAGGTTTTCTTCAATTTCTTTCTTTAGTGTTCTGTAGTTTTCATTATAGAGGTCTTTCACCTCTTTTGTTAGATTAATTCCCAGGTTTTCGTTCTATTTTGTTTTATGCTCATAAGTGTTTTGTTTATTTATTTGTTTATTTATTTATTTGAGGCTATTGTGAATGGAGTAGTTTTTCTAATTTCTCTTTCAGTGGATTCATTGCTGATATATAGAAATGCATTTGATTTATGGGTATTGATTTTATATCCTGTTACTCTGGAATTTTTTGGATCTTCTAGATATAGAATCATGTTATCAGCAAATAGTGGTAGCTTGAGTGCTTCTTTACCTATTTGAATCTCTTTAATGTCTAATTGCTCTGTCTAGAGTTTCAAGGATGATGTTGAATAGAAGTGGTGAAAGAGGACATCCTTGTCTTGTTCCAGTTTTTAGAGGGAATGCTTTCGATTTTTCTCCATTTAGAATGATCCTGGCCTTGGGTTTAGCATATATAGCTTTTGCCATGTTGAGGAATGTTCCACTTATCCCTAGTTTTCCTAGTGTTTTGAACATGAAGGTGTGCTGTACTTTGTCAAATGCTTTTTCTGCATCTATTGAGATGATCATGTGATTCTTGTTTTTAAGTCCATTAATATGATGAATTACGTTTATTGATTTCCATATGTTGAACCAACCCTGCATTCCTGGGATGAATCCCACTTGATCGTGGTGCACTATCTTTTTAATATGTTTTTGTATGTGATTTTCCAGAATTTTATTGAGAATTTTTGCATCAATGTTTATCAGAGATAAGATTTTTTTAAATTTCATCCTTGATTTGTGAAGTTTTCTTTCCTTGATGTGTCTTTGCTGGTTTTGGTATCGGTGATATTACCCTCATAGAATGAATTTGGAAGGGTTCCCTCCTTTTCTATTTCATGGACTACTTTGAGGAGTATTGGTGTTAATTTTCCTTTGAAAGTCTTGTAGAACTTGGCTGAGAATTTATCTGGTCTTGGGTTTTTCTTGGTTGGTAGGCTTTTGATGGCATTTTCTACTTCATTATTTGAAATTGATCTGTTGAAATCATGTATGACCTCCTCATTCAGTTTGGGTGGGTCATACGTCTCTAGAAATTTGTCACAATGTCTTTGATATTTTCTATTGTATTAGAGTATAAATTTTCGAAATAGTATCTAATTACCTTCTGTATTTCAGATGTGTCCCTTGTGATATTTCCTTCTTCATCCTGTATTTTAGTAATTGCCGCAGTCTGGCTGGGCACAATCAGGAGCCACTTGTCAAAAGAAACTAACTTTATTTTTAGAACCACACACGCCAAACAAAACAGCCTCTCAGGAAAAACCCTCAGAGCCTCAACTGCCACCACCGGCTTCCCACAAGCCTCTCTCTCCCACACAAGCTTCTCCCCACCTGCCACAATCCTCCTGCTCTTGAGGCCGATTGGCTGGGTCACGTGGGCGGAGCCAAAAAAGTCCCCCAATGAGCAGCTCCGTGGTCTGAAAGGGCAGGGAAACAGCCCAATGAGCATCACCGCAGAGGAGCCAATCAGCTAGATGTTGCTGGGGCCGCTGTGAGCCAATCATCAGCCGGCAGCTGGAAGTTTGCTGGCAGCTGGAAGTTTGCTGGGGCCCCTTCGGCTGTGGCTCTCAACAAGTAATTTTTGAGTTTTCTTTTTCTCTTTGTTAGCATGGCCAGGGGTTTATCTATTTTATTTATTTTTTCAAAGAACCAACTTTTTGTTTTGTCAGTTTCTTCAATTGTTTCATTTGTTTCAATTTTATTAATTTCTGCTCTGATTTTAATTATTTCCTGTCTTCTACTGTATTTATGTGGGTTTGTCTCTGTGTCCAGAGACAAATTGGGATTTTAATAGGCATTGCATTAAATCTGTATAACGCTTTTGGTAGTATGGCCATTTTGACAATATTAATTCTGTTTATTCCAGAGAATGGGAGATCTTTCCATAGTGAGAGAGGTGTGTTAAAGTCACCCAGTATTATTGTATTATGGTCTGTTTGACTCTTGAAATCGAGAAGGGTTTGTTTGATGTATGTAGATGCTCCATTGTACATATCTGTTATGTCCTGCTTATATATATTTCTTTTAAGAAGTATGAAATGTCCTTCTTTGTCTCTTCTGATTAACTTTGGTTTGAAGTCTACTTTATCTGAGATGAGGATGGAAACCCCTGCTTGTTTACGCAATCCCTATGAGTGATAAGTTTTCCCCTCCTTTTACCTTCAGCCTGTGATGTCTTTGCCCATGAGGTGAGTCTCCTGAAGACAGCATATTGTTGGGCCTTGCTTTTTAATCCAATCTGACAATCTGTGTCTTTTGATTGATTGATTTAGGCCATTAACATTCAAGGTTATTATTGAGATATCAATAATAATGACGGTATTCCCTGTCATTTTGATTTATTTCTGGTTTTTTATTTGTCCTAGTTTCTCATTTGATTGCATGTCCCTTTAGTGTAGATCCTCCCTTTGCTGGTTTTCACTTTTTTTTTTTTTTACTTCATCATGGAATATTTTGTGGGAATGCTCTGAAGTGTAGGCTTTGTAGTTGTAAATTCCTTTAATTTTTGTTTATCATGGAATGTTTTAATTTCATCTTCAAATCTGAAACTTAATTTTGCTGTATATAAAATTCTTGGATGGCATTTGTTTTCTTTCAGAGCTTGAAATATATTATTCAGGACCTCCTACTTTTGAGGGTCTGGGTTGGGAAATCAGTTGAGATCTGAATTGGTTTCCCCCATACGTAATTTGATTTTTTTCTCTCAGAGCCTTTAAGATTTTATCTTTATTCTCTGTGTCAGTCATTCTCATCATCATGTGTCTTGGTGTGGGTCTGCTGTAATTTTGTACATTTGGGGTCCTGTAAGCCTCTTGTATTTGATTTTCCATTCTATAGATGTGGGTAATTTTCTGCCATTACTTCATCTGTTCTGATAACTCTTAAATTTGGTTTTTCCATGTTATCCCATAATTCTTGGATGTTCTGTTCATGATTTCTTACCATCTTCTCTGCATGGTCAACTCTACTTTCAAGATTATATATTTTGTCTTCATTGTCTGAGGTTCTGTCTTCCAAGTGGTCTAGTCTGTTGGTGATGCTTTCTATTAAATTTATAATTTGGTTTACTGATTCCTTCATTTTGAGGATTTCTGCTTATTTTTTTTATGATCTCTAACTTTTTATTGAAGTGGTCTTTCACTTCCTGTATTTTTTCTTTGATTTCATTCCTTTAATACTATCCTTCACTTCACACTTCAATTTAACTGTATACATTCTGAACTCCTTCTAGGACATTTCTCCTACTGTGTTATCAGTGGCTACTGTTGTTGAAGCATCTTGGTTTGTTTGGGGTGCTTTATTCCCTTGTTTTTTTGTGTTGTTAGTGTGTTTTCCCATCTAGCAGTACGGATCTAAGTCAGGATAAATTCTACCCTGTAGACCTATAGTGTCCCCGAAGATTTTCAGCACTTCTCCTCTACTGGTGAGACCAATCGCAACAGCACCCAGTGCACACAATATATAGTCTTAAACCTAATAGCTCCCACTAAGGCGTCTACTGCTTTCTCATACTGAACCAAAATGTTGACTTCAATAACTATTTATAGTACAAATAGAATATTTGTTAAAATGATTTACAATTTCAAATGGTGGATGAGAGAACAGAGGTATGTAGTATGTGATATTCATGAAGGAGGAAGAGAGAATCTAGAAGTAGAAATTCACAGGAAGAGTGGAAGAGGAGCCAACAGAGATTGGCTGTGGGTTGGAGAAAAATTGGAAAGAAAATCCAAGACAGTAGATGAGAGGAGGAATACGAACAAGGAGAAAAAAGTAAAGACATAAGAATGTAACAAAAATGTAAAACACCATTCATATATCATTGTCCTCCACATACTGATGTATAAAAATCATACTGTTCCAAATATGGTAGAGAGATTAGTGAATCAAAAAATAAATAAATCTTGCTGGAAAGTCTGTCTCAGTGTTCAACAGTTTCTCAGCCCTGTCTCTGACATCCCTTGGGATCACCAAACCCAGATCAGCCCTCGCAAACCCAGCCTCTATCCCACCCATCTGGGCTTCAGATACCTCAGGCTCGGCCACCTGCAGGCCCAAGACCTCAGTGCTGCTCCTGCTTGCAGAGAGACCACCAGGATACACTCATGCAGAGGAGCCACTCTGAGATGCAGCAGCAAGACAAGGGCCACCAGCACTCTCAGCAGGAAGACCCCAGGCTCCTCAGAACCGCAGGCACCCCCATACCAGATCAGCAGGTTCCACCTGGGGACTTTTATGGTGGTAAACCTGCTGGCACCCGGGCCCCAGGCCCTGGTTGGTGTCCCAAAATAGGTGCAGCCACATACAACCAAACTTGGAGCCTCCCCCGCAGCAGTGCTCTCGGCCGTGGTAGCAGCGGTAGTGGTGGTGGCTGTTGGCAGCAGGCAGCGGGTCAGCAGGAGCAGCCGCTGCAGCTGTGGGGGCAGCGTCACCAGGCGATCTCCAGGGGTCAGCAGCAGCGTGGGCTTCAGTTGCATCCAGAGTAGCAGTTTCTTCTGCAGCAGCAGCACCCAAAAAGAAGACCTCCAGGCGACCTCAGGCTGGCAGCAGCGGAATCTGAGGCAGCAGCATTGGTGGTAGCGGTGCAGTGGGCGGTTGATTGACAGGAGACTTCCAGTTCAGCGGCAGCACCACAGAGGTAGTTCTAGCTCCGGAATTTAACTAGACTGGATGTCCTGTTCTTATAAGGTGCAATACTAAAATATGTGTGATTTTCTCTGGGGAATGGGCTATTCATCAGCAAATAGATTTTTATTAGCTTATTTCCCATGCATAAATGATAATCTGCAGTTTTATAATATTTATAGTTTAGGGGGTAATTTTGATGCTTTAGTATGAGGAAATAGTCAAATTTGAATTTTCAGAAAGTAAACTTTGATTGGAGATGTTGTCCAAAGGATGCAGAACAAGCAGTACACTAGAATATTCAGTCCTTACATGTTTTGTTAAGTGGGTATATAGTTTTGGATTTTCACTGAGAAATTCCCAAACCATGCCTATTAGTTTCTAAGTGTTCTAAAATTATTTTCAGAAATACTTTTAGTGTCGAACTAATACATGTGAAAGCTGTATTTAACCTAAGATTATTTCTATTTAACTAAATATGCAAGTATAAATTTAATCAGAAAATTGTGTATTTTATATGGAAATACAGTGGAGTTTTGTAATGTGTGTTAATTAGTAATTTTACCATATTACTTTGATTATAAAAGTTTTGCATGTATATTGGGAACTTTAGAAAAGCACAAAGGAGAAAATAAAGTACCTTTTTTAAAAAGGAAAAAATTGGTATCATACTATACATGTGGAGTTGTAGCAGCGTTTTCATTTAGTGGAGTGGAACTTTCTCTGATGTTATCAGCACTTCTACCAGCCACATGGCATTCCGCATCAGAACGCTCCATGGTTTGGTTCAGCTAATGCCTGTTGTTGAACTTTGGATGTGGCTATTTTGTGGCTGTCATAAAAACAGTTTATAATATCCTTAGAGATCACTCTGTATAAACGTGGAGTAATTGCCAAGAACAAACTCCTAGAGGTTGAAAGTCTTAAGTTGAGATGTGTCCCAGTTCAAGGTTGAACCCCGGGAAGGCTGCACAGTACCCTTCTGTCAACAGCATCTGCTTCCTGCTGTCGTTATCAACAAAGGTTATCTTTCTGTTTGTTAAACTGAGAAGCAAAAACATCTTAATCTCATTTTTAATATTTTGATCAGATTACCAATTGATAATTTTTCTTGTCTATTATTTGTGGGTTTCTTTATCACGTCCTTTGTTTTCCTTTGGGAATGATTACCTCTTTTTTTGTTTTTTACTTACAAGAATATTAACTCTTTGCTTTCTAATTTTATGTATGTTTGACATGGTGTGTACATTTTTTTTGGTAAAATTTAAATTATGGTTCTTAAAGAATTTCCAAATGTAAAATTCAAACAAATAAAAGCATTGTTTTTCAATGAAAAAAAAATCACTGACTATACATCTAAATGACCCTACCCCAAATTGATTTAATCCCTAGACACCTTACATGCTTCCTTATGATTTTGCACAATTTTCAATGTTATTGAATAAAAAAAGCAACATTAAAATGTTGAACAAAACTTCTTGTTCTTTTAAGGAAACAGAGTTGAAGCCATCTTTGAAATTTTTTATACTAAAATCAATTAGAAAGAAAGTTATGTTTTAAAATAAACATTATAGCTTTTATTTTTTATTTTTTAAAAATATATTTAATTGTAGTTGGACACCATATCTTTATTTATTGATTTATTTTTATGTGGTTCTGAGGATCGAACCCAGGGCCTCGCACATGTTAGGCAAGCGCTCTACCACTGAGCCACAGCCCCAGCCCACATTATAATTTTTAAAGAAATTTTATTTTCAGGCTTGTGTTGCCAGCTGGGGACTCCACTCTAGCATTCTCTTGGACTTCCTGCCTTTTTTCTTCGTGTTATTACCACTGCAACTAGTTTTATGAAATTGCTTATTTTATTCTTGCCTAGGAGACTGATTTAATCATATCACCACTAGATGGCAGAATAGATCAAGTCAGCGCTATAGACTTCTGACGTGTGTGTGTGTGTGTGTGTGTGTGTTTTGAAGAATTCTTGCTCCATCTTGTGGTAATATAGAGATGTCAATTCTCTTAAATTCGTTAATAGTTATCTGTCTCAATAACTAACTCATCATTACCTTGATCTGGCATTGCCCAGATTATTAGTAAATCAGCGTTAGTTACCGGGTTGTTAGTAAGTAGATGCAGCATGGCAGCAGCCAAAAGAGTCATGTATGGTTAAAGATGAAAACGCCGTTGCTTAGGTGTTTTGTTCTTCCACCTAAAAGTCTGTGATAGACTCTCTTGAAATGTAAACGAGGCAAGCAAATTGCAGGTATCTATGTAAATGTCTGACTAACCTGAGCCAGGTAGTGAAATCACATGGCAAGTTAGTGAGCAGATCTTGCCTGGACCATGAGAAACCTGAAAGCTACCCTTGTAACAGACAGTAGTCAGGCAGACAGTGGTCAGGCAGCCAGTGGATTTGAACCTCAGTGCACTGCCCCAGAGCCCAGCTCTTCCCCTTAACCAGAGTGGCTTGTTATTGTCCTTGGGGTGCTGGGGATCGACCCCAGGGCCTTGCGCAAGCCAGGCTTGTTCTCCATCACTGAGCCACATCCCAGCCCCAGATGGTTGTGTAACAGTGTGAAACGTGGAAGCATGAACACTGACTCAGACGGCCACAGTTCCTAACTATCGTAAGTCCAGAGTAGATCATTCTGAGGCTAAGATAAACTGCCCGCACGATGGGCATCACGGCAGTAATGGCAGCGCCACCTCTAATCCCTGCATTAGAGGTGTGTGATGTGTCCTCTGGGGGCGAACTTGCTGGAGAACAAGATCACTCCTGCTGAAGCATTTTTCTCAGAACTAAATAGTAAAAAGAAACTAAACAGAGCATTTGGTCAGAATTGTTTAGGAATTTTACATCTGTTCAAGTCAGTATTGCCAGCTGTTGATACAGGACTATTCAGAAGTAACGGCATCTAGGCCTCGGTGGTGTGAAGGAAGTACGCCACAGGTTGATGAGGAGGAATCACCTCTGACTTTTTACTCTTTGCCTATTTTGTGGATTCTTCCCAATGATTCCGTTTTTCCCTTGGCCCATTACTAACGATTTGGTTAATAAAACAGTTCCTAACAATATGTGGCACATTTTAGCTCTAGTGGAGTCTAAAAACCAGGATGTGGCATTGTTTTTCATTTTTTCCAGACTATGTTGCAAGTCCACAAAATTAAGTACCTTTCTAGGGTATTTAAGATGCCTTAGAACTTCAGTACCACAAACATGATCATGGTGCTGTAATGTTTAATGTTAAGATCTTTGTATTGAATGCTCTCAAGGTGAGACTTCTAATGAATCAATGGATGACTTTGAGGAAAGAAGTTTCGTGAAATCCTAAATTTTATATACTTATAGGTTCTTTTTGGGAGAAAATATAGCTTTTATCAGTTCCCTGTAGGAATTTAGGATGATAAATTTAGTAACTGCTGCTCTCTATGGACATCTTATTTGTTAAGAGACTGTATGAGTTGGATCCTGGCTCTTTTCACTAAGTTACAGTTTATCTACACAATTGCACTTATCCTTGGCTGAGTACAGTCGCACATACCTGTAATCCCAGCGGCTTGGGAGGCTGAGGCAGGAGGTTCGCAGATTCAAGGACAGTCTCGGCAATTTAGCAAGACCCTGTCTCAAAAAATTAAAAAGGGATTGGGATGAAACTTAGAGACAAAGTGTCCCTGGGTTCAATTTCCACTCTCTCCACCCCCAAAATAGATTGCAGTTAGCTCACAGTGTTGTGAAAACAAATGAAGAGTGTTTGTCACAGTGCCCTGTGTACACGGAGCTCTCAGTAAACATTAGTGTGACCAGGACTAAGCACTGGGCACGTCAACTCCAAGTACTGAAAGGCATTTCTCCACTAAGTTATTAATAGATTTAAAATCTTGTGAAATTAATTTACTTCAACATTTTAACAGAGACAAGGCCATTCCGCACCATGGTTGTCTGAGGGCCGTTAGAGAGGCATGTTTTTCTGCCCTCCATGTTGGAGAAATGTTGCTTCAGTGACTCGAACCACTAAGGGACCATGAATTCCAGGAAGCAGACCCCCAAGACTCTAAAAGCCCCGTGTTTTCAGTGAACTGTTGGACTCGGTATGTTTTCCCACTACTTCTGCCTCATCCCGCTTCCTCAGTTCCTGAGCAGACAGGAGAATGTGCCTTCCTGTGGCACTCCTAGGCTGAGACCTCGGTGACCCCTTTTCCCACTGCCACACACTTCCAAGGTTGGATCAACCCTGCATTTCAGAAGCCATGTTTCTAGTCACCTGTAAGAATCTGCCCTTGGAAATGTTTGATAACTTTTATCTTTACAATGACTTGAACGGTAACTTATGTCCCACTGAAAGAAATGGTCTTTCACACTCTAAATCAGTTTTCCTCCTAGGTAAATTTGTGCCAGCAGATTCCCTGACTGCCCCTGTGGAAGCAGTAAGTAGCTCTAGAATCTGCCCACCCCGAAGGCAATAACACCGCTGGCGTGGCGGGCCATAGGAGAGCTCCTAGAGAAGCAGGCAACTTCTCAGACCACCAAATTGTCACGGCCTCCAGACTGCTTTATTTTTGTTCTACACTTTGATAAACCATATTTGTTTTGCTATTTTGAAAATTGTACCATAGGTTTCTAGAAAGCCTGGGGAAGGGGGGGGGGTCTCACATTCATGTTGTTGGATAATAAATAAAATTTTGCTGTCAAGACTTCTTTTTTTATTGATTTAAAAAAATAAATGACAGCGGAATGCATTACGATTCTTTTTACACATATATGCCACAATTTTTCATAACTGTTTGTATATAAAGTATTTTGACACCTAATTCAGGTCTTCATACATGTACTTTGGATAATGATGTCCATCACATTCCACTGCCCTTGCTAATCCCCTGCCCCCCTCCGTTCCCCTCCCACCCCCTTCCCTATCTAGAATTCATCTATTCCTCCCATGCTCCCCCTCCCTACCCCACTATAAATCAGCCTCCTTATATCAGAGAAAACATTTGGCATTTGGCTTTTTGGGATTGGCTAACTTCATTTAGCATTATTTTCTCCAACGCCATCCATTTACCTGCAAATGCCATGATTTTATTCTCTTTTATTGCTGAGTAAAATTCTATTGTGTATACATGCTACATTTTTTTATCCATTCATCCACTGAAGGGCATGTAGGTTGGCTCCACAGTTTAGCTATTGTGAATTTATCTGCTATAAACATTGATGTGGCTGTGTCCCTGCAGTATGCTGTTTTTAAGTCCTTTGGGTATAAACAGAGGAGAGGAATAGCTGGGTCAAATGGTGGTTCCATTCCCAGATTTCCAAGGAATCTCCATACTGCCTTCCATATTGGCTGCACCAATTTGCAGTCCCACAAGTAACGTATGGGTGTACCTTTTCCCCCACATCCTCGCCAACACTTATTGTTGTTTGTCTTCATAATAGCTGCCATTCTGACTGGAGTGAGATGATATCTTAGAGTAGTTTTGATTTGCATTTCTCTAGTTGCTAGAGATGATGAGCATTTTTTCATATATTTGTTGATTAATTGTATATCCTCTTCTGAGAAGTGTCTGTTCAGGTCCTTGCCCCATTTGTTGATTGGGTTTTTTGTTTTTTTGGTGCTTAGCTTTTTGAGTTCTTTATATACCCTGGAGATTAGTGCCTATCTGATGTGTGAGGGGTAAAAATTTGCTTCCAGGATGTAGGCTCTCTGTTTACCTCAAAGATTGTTTCTTTTGCTGAGAAGGAATTTTTAGTTTGATTCCATCCCATTTATTGATTCTTGGTTTTAATTCTTGTTCTATAGGAGTCTTATTAAGGAAGTTGGGGCCTAATCCCACATAATGGAGATTAGGGCCTACTTTTTCTTCTATTAGACATAGAGTCTCTGGTTTAATTCCTAAATTCTTGATCTATTTTGAGTTGAGTTTTGTGCACGGTGAGAGGGGTTTAATTTCATTTTGTTCCATATAGATTTCCTTTTTTCCCGGCACCATTTGTTGAAGATGCTATCTTTTCTCCAGTGCATATGTTTTTGGCACCTTTGTCTAATATAACATAATTGTAATTTTGTGGGTTTGTCTCTGTGTCCTCTATTCTGTATCATTGGTCTACCAGTCTGTTTTGGTGCCAATACCATGATGTTTTAAGACTTCTTAATGTTTATAGATTATATACATTTTTTAGCTTGATATGTGGATTGAATGGATTGAATTGAACTTAACTCTATTATATTCACTTTAAAGTTTATCAGTAGTTTTCTAGAACCAATGTTTAACCACTATTCCTAAAACTTTCATGGTTTTTGATTTTTCCCATTTCAATCATGTTGATACTAAACTGATGGTAGTAATAGCTCCAATAATCATAATAATATTTTCAGAAGGAAAAAGAATATCAGAGAAGTTATAACTCAAGCAATACCTTTATATTTTATCTTCTTTTTAACTATAAATAAGAAGCCAGGAATCAGGTCTACTTTGATCATTATTACATTCCCAAGAAAGACAGACAAAGGAGGGAGGGAAGGAAGAAGAAAACCCTGAAACCTTACCTTCCAGGATAACCAACCCTGACATCAGGCGGAGCTATGGCAACATTTTCCTAATTCCTCAAACTCTAGAAGGACAACGTGAAGCATTGCTGATGTGAAGAGTGGCAGGAGAAGCAGACTGTGTCCTGGATCCTCTGAGGAGTCAGCCTGCGGCAGAACGGCACATGAGGTTGAAATACAGTTACTGCAAACGTGGGACACCAGCTTGGTTTTTTTGTTGTTGTTGTTGTTGTTTTTTAACTTTTTGTGATAGATTCATGGTGATTATTCTTTTATCTTTGGGGAACCCTTGATCTAGAACCAAGCCTCAGTTCTGTTAGAAATATTCAAAGAAATCATTTTGAGTGAACCAGAGGAAGTAATCTATTTTGAGGGCCAAAGGAAGGCGTCCAAACACTTCCCTGGTGTATCAAAAACTCCCACTTTTAGAAAGTCCCTTGGGCTCAAGGTAGTATGGTGGAATAATGCCCAGGTCCTCAAATTGAGGGTACACTGAGGGAGTACATGATATTCTCGGAGCAAATTATGTAGAATTAGATCATTTTCAAAGAATCAATTTCCACAACTTCAACTTCCCTAAGGACTCTTTCCTAAAATTGATTTATCTGACAATGTACTTAAGTTCCTAATAGTCTTTTTCCCACTTAATAAAAGAAAGCCATTGCACTGACCTATCCCAAGTACTGCTCTGAACATGTAAGCCCCTCCTGAGCCACACAAAGATGAATCTTCTTAATAATTCACTGGGCTCTCATAAACCCAAAAGACTTGCTGAATTTGTCCTCTTTATAAATTTCTGTTCAGGATGAGCCTTTGTCTTATTTTTGGCTAGAGGAAAGAAAAACATTTTTATCAAATCATATGGTCAGATTGCATATCAGTTTTGTTAGTTATCTTTTCATTGCTGTGACCAAAATACCCAACAAAGATATCTTAGAGGAGCAAAAGTTTATTTTGGCCCACTGTTCCAGAAGTTCAGTCCCTGGTTGGCTGAGTCCATTGCTCTGGGCTCAAAGCAAGGCAGAACATGATGGCAGAAGGGTGTGGTGGAAAAGTGCTGCTCACTCCATAGTGGTCAGGAAGCAGAGAGGAAGAGGAAGGGAAGATGAACCCTTCCAGAGATACCTCCAGGGGCCTCCCTCCTCCAGTCACACCCCATCTACCTACGGTATCACCCGGTCAGTCCGTTCAAACTAGGATGAAATGATTAGCTTACAGCTCTCAAAATCCAATCCTTTCATTTCTGAACATTCCTGCTTAACGAAGGAGCTTCTAAGGGACACCTCATAACCCAATCATAACTAATTCCACCCTGGCCCCCAAAAGCTCATGTCCATCCCACAGTGCAAAAGGCAAGAGTCCCATAGTCTTAACAACTCTAGCGTTGACCAAAGGCCCAACTCCAGTCTCACCTGAGATTCAAGGCACACTGTTGGCTGTGAGCTCCTGTGAAAATCAAAAGTTACATATATCTATGTAAAATGGCACAGTGTAAACATTCCCATTCCAAAGGGAGGGACAGGGACATAGAAGGGATGGGGCTAAAACAAGACCAAAAACCAGTCAGGCAAACAGGTCCCAGAACTCTGCATATAGGATCTCAACACGTGGAGATGAGATGTACTCTCTACAGGGCTCCAGCACCACCCCTTTGGCTTTGCCAGTTGAAGCACATGGGCTTTGTCCTCAGGCAGCAGTTTTTCCCAGCAGACAGTTAATGTTGCTGGCATCTCTCAATTCCTAAAGTCTCCGTTCCGGCTTTGACTTCACTTTTACAGCTTCACACATTACTGTCTCAGGGGCATCCTTTAAAGATTCGGACCCTGTTACACTTTGCCTGACGTCCCAAGCCTTCCTTGGAAATCTCAGTTGAAGATTTCACGACCCCTTGAATTCCTACAGAACCAGTGCCACATGGATGACACCACAGTTTGCCACCAGTTCACACAGTAGTCAAGACCCCTGGGATCAGGGCTGCAGCAGCCTCTGAATGACTGGGCACCTTAGCATGGTGATACAACTTCCTACCACTCCTCCCATGCAAGCAAGGTGTCCCAAGGATCTCAAAGGAAATTTTCCCTTCTATATCATTGAGGCTGCAATGGGTATGGTATTGGAGATTCTTTCCTATTATCTCTGTGCA